AATAATGTGGCGGTTGATGTTGTTTTTGCCTAAGAATTTACGTGCTCTGCATTCTGTTTTTCACATGAGCCTGTTGAAGAAGGATCCTGGTCCGTCTCCCTGGAGACCAACAGTTACTCCTCCTCCACCTGTCATTTTGGAAGGGGATGAACATTTTGAGATCGCTGATATCCTTGATTGTAAATTGAAACGTGGTAAACTCTGGTACCTTATCGAATGGGTTGATTTCGGTCCCCAGCACCGCGAATGGGTGGAAGAAGGGGATATTCGGGCCCCTTACCTGATCCGTAGTTTCCACAAGAGGTTCCCGGACAAACCGGGAGGTCTCCCGCCCAGCCCGGGAGGTCTCCCGCCCAGGCCGGGAGGTGTGTTGTAAGTGTATTTTAAGGGGGGCAGTATGTCAGCAAGCTGCCATTCTGTTTTCTGTGACCTCTGTGTACATATCCTTTCCCTGTTACACCCGGCTTGGCTTCTATCATCCTGCTCCTGCGTTGGAATGCACAAGATAACTGCTGGAGGTTGTGTGGGGGAGAAGATGCTGTAATGCTTGCCTATTGCTTTTCTCATGAGTACTGCACCTGTGTTTTGTCTGATGTTCTGCCTGGTTCCCATGGACTGGGCGCGCAACCGTTTCATTAGCCCGCCAGCGGGAATGCTATTCATTGGATCTGTATCTGTTTGAAGTTCCTTTATTATGCTTGACCTAACTGTGTATCCCCAGTTCTAACAAAGAACGTGTTTGAGTATGTCTTCAACGCTTTGAAATAAATTTTGCTTTTCTTGAAAACGTGGATTTATTCTCGATGCTTGGGGATCCAACACCCCCCCCCAATTCAACACCAAACTACTTTTGGGGCCCACAGGGGGATACAGGTACATGTATCTAACCAGTGGGGCAGTGCTTTTTTATAGCCTGGTTCATTTGCTTGAGCAACATATGACTTACCCTTTCCTGTCCTGCCCTGGGATATAGGAATTTGTTGTTGCTTAGGAAGAATGAGTAAAAGAAGAGCTGAGGGATGAATGCTAGCAAAATAATTGCTTTGCTGGATTAGGCCACCCCTCTTGTCCGATGTTCTGCCAGAGCAACATACTTCTGAGAGGCTGCACATGCAGGATATGAAGGTGATTGCCCTCCCTGTCATTTGTCTGCAGCATTTGATAATTAGGGGTTTTCCATCTCTGAGCATGGAGGTTTCATCTAGCATGACTAACAAGTACCAGTTAAAATATCCTCCTTGAATACGTCCAATCTTTCTTTTTTTAAAAACAAAAACAAAAAACTTTAAACTGATGATTGTTACTATATCTTGTGGTAGTAAATGTAATAAGTAACATATTGTGAAGAAGTACTACTTTTGTTGTTCTTGACTGGTCGTACTGACAATCAAGTTTCATTGCATGATTAAGTTCATTTATTTTACAGATTTATACCCCTACCATTTTGGTATCTGGGACACTTAACAACATATTAAAATAAAAGTTTACAGGGAAAAAAATTCACTATCCTTGTATACCAAATATTAGCAGTATAAAAAATAAGTATCTATACCAAAAAGCACCAAATGGGGGAATATAAAATTCTAGCAGTAGCAGCAGCCCTCAGGTCCAGGTTGAGTCAAATGGGCAGAAGGCTATCACTGTATCTGTAGAAATGTTCCTTGTGTTCTCTGCTTGATTGCATTCCAGATTACACCCAGGTGCATTATACAAAGAAGAAAAAAAATTAACATCTCAACTGGCCCAAGGTGTCAGAAAGCTTGGTGGTATCTCCTTGCTGGTTTTGGTATAGGTATTTGAAGGAAAGCATGTAAATAATTAAAATCAAAAAGTACACTGTTCTGAAAATGTAGCATCCATTCTCTTGACAAAATACCAGCACTAATTCTGTTGGCCCAGTAAAGGGTCACCTCTAAAAAAAATTATTTCTGAATCATTATAACAAGAAATATCTAAAGCAGCCACAATTATTTAAAAAATCATGTTTCCTTTGCAGGAAAAAACCCAGGATGTTTTTTCAGGGCAGAACCTTCCTTATCTTCAGCCGGATACTACTTATTGTTTAAAAGTTAAAGCGTCCCTAGAAGATCATAAAGCTTTATGGAGCCCAGAGTACTGTATAAAAACACCTAAAGGTATGGATTTACTGTTTGGCTTATTTTTCCGCTTAACTATTCAGATCAGTAGTTAGTATCACACTAATTAATTTTTTCACCTAAATTTGGTACCTCTTAGTAAAATAAATAAATAAAATTTTAAGAACTGTGGTTTCTTGTACAATCTGAAAGTAGTTATACCCTTTTAAATCAGTGGCCTTCAAAGTGTGCAACTCTCTTTAAAACTGCACTGTTAAACACTCACAAATAACTACGCATTTTGTTTGCATTGCTCCAGGGGTCACTCCCATAGTCCCCTTAAGTCCTGGAGCAGTTGATAAGCATCATTGAGGCACTACTACAGCCACCACCTCAAGCCGTGTAGGCCTTTGATAGTACAATTGTAATTTTCTTTGTAGTTTTTGTCATTGTTCCTGAATCTAAATGAATATGTTGTTGAATTATTTTTTCTTTTATCTTTACAGCTTTGGATGGTCTGGCTCCTCCCAAAAACCTTCGTGTTTATGCTTTGAATATGAAGTGCATTTTGTATTGGGATAACCTATATAATGGAAGTATAAGCTTCACAGTCCAGTGGCTCTAGTAAGAATCATTACTGCATATGTTTTAATATCTAACTTTTACATTCCAGCTATTTCTTCACAGCTTAAGATGTCTAGCAAAGTTAGCTTGCTTACACGAGATTGTCTGGGTTTGGTAGTTGTTTTGAGAAGCCACATTAAATAAGACAAATCAGCAAGCGAACTAAATGCATATAATGATTCTTTCATATTGACATTCAGTAATAATTCAGCCACATCTTAAGGGGCAATTTTCACTTCTGCACTACCTTGAACAGTGGTTTGCAGTGCTGCAGCATAGCTACCCTTTCCAAAAGCTCCTTAAGTGGCCTAAGAACATAAGAACATAAGAGACGCCAATGTTGGATCAGGCCAAAGGCCCATCTAGTCCAACACTCTGTCACACAGTGGCCAAAAATACCAGGTGCCATCAGGAGGTCCACCAGTGGGGCCAGGACATTAGAAGCCCTCCCACTGTTGACCCCCCCCCAGCACCAAGAAGACAGAGCATCACTTGCCCCAGAGCCCCTATCTATACCTTGTGGCTAATAGCCACTGATGGACCTCTGCTCCATATGCCTATCTAATTCCCTTTTGAATAATATCCTTTTTAAGGTGTGGTGACCAGAATTGCACACAGTATTCCAAATGAGGTCTTACCATTGATTTATATAGGGGCATTATGATATTGGCTGATCTGTTTTCAATACCCTTCCTAATAATCCCCAGCATAGCATTGGCCTTCTTTATTGCAGTCACACACTGTCTCGACATTTTCAGTGAGTTATCCACTACAACTCCAAGATCTCTCTCTTGCTCAGTCTCTGCCAGTTCAGACCCCATCAATGTGTATTTATATTTAGGATTTTTGGCTCCAATGTGCATCACCTTGCACTTGGCCACATTGAACCCCATTTGCCATGTTGACGCCCACTTGCCCATCCTTGACAGATCCCTTTGGAGTGCCTCACAATCCTCACTGGTTTTCACCACCCTGAACAACTTCGTATCATCCGCAGTTAGCCACTTCACTGCTTACTCCCAACTCCAAAGCATTAAAGCGTACATTGTGCATGTGTGTGCATGGCTCAAAGAACTCTGTGGTTGGTTACCATCACTAACATGAGGGTGCCCCAGATCAAAAGCAACTCACTAGATCAGGATAAAGAATTGAGTGACAGTGCTTTACTAGAAGATAATAATTAAATGGGAAACCAACCTTGTTTGCAAGCAAGGGATTACATTTGCTGGTACTCTAATTTGCAGTCTCCTTCAATAATACACAGGTAAAGCTGCGGTGGCTCAAGTGGTTAAGACGCTGAACTGCAGGCTGTGGAAGGTCAGTAGTTCAGCAGTTCAAGACCCGGGTTGCCGCATGACGGAGTGAGCTCCCATCTCTGGCTCCAGCTCCTGCCAACCTAGCAGTTCGAAAGCAAGAAATTGCAAGTAGATAAATAGGTACCACTTCAGTGGGAAGGTAACAGCGTTCCGTGCGCCTTGGTGTTTAGTCATGCCGGCCACATGACCATGGAAACATCTTCGGACAGCGCTGGCTCTTCGGCTTTGAAACGGAGATGAGCACCGCAACCCTAGAGTCGGACTTGACTGGCTTTCGAGCAAGGGAACCTTTACCTTTACCTTTTTAAAGCTATTCCACCTGTTTTCAGTGACAGAGCTATAAAATATACAGGGCTGGATGAAATCTTAGAAATGTAAATGCCTTTTTTAGAGTAAATGTGGATAGTTTAGTTAAATAATTTTCAAGGTATTAATTGATTTTTATTACTGTATACAAAGGAATGGTCAGCATTTTGCTTTAGATTTCATGGTACCTTTTCTAACCTGAGGTATGCATTGAAAACGTAGGTTCTTTTGTGTTTGTTCATTTTAAGTCCTTTCTGTACAACCTCAAAGTCTCAAATGTCTAGAGGCAGTATAGAATAATAAAATACATATGAGATCTCAAAAAATGATCACATTATCAACAACTACATGTGTACGGATAAAAGGAAGTACTTCTTCACCCAAAGAGTGATTAACACTTGGAATTCACTGCCACAGGAAGTGGTGGCAGCTACAAGCATGGACGGCTTCAAAAGGGAATTAGATAAGCATATGGAGCAGAGGTCCATCAGTGGCTATTAGCCACAAGGTATAGATAGGGACTCTGGGGCAAGTGATGCTCTGTCATCTTGGTGCTTGGGGGGGGTCAACAGTGGGAGGGCTTCTAATGTCCTGGCCCCACTGGTGGACCTCCTGATGGCACTGGTATTTCTGGCCACTGTGGGATACAGAGTGTTGGACTGGATGGGCCTTTGGCCTGATCCAACATTGGCATCTCTTATGTTCTTATGTTCTTAACTAATAACACCAGTAGTAAACAATAAAAACATCAACAGCGAAAGTATTTTAAAGACTATGATACAGTGGAATAGACCCTGAGATAAATTGTATAGAGGGTTTGGTCTTTCTGTCAGACTCCTGGAAAAATCAGTTCCCAACAACAGTCATTCAGAAGAATAGATAGTTTATTGAGACATTGCCGGGATCCAGAGTCTTAACGTTTCTGTGTTAGAACCGAGGAAAAGTACGCAAAGCAAACAATTATACCTAAATCAAGCAGAACCCTGTCAGGCTCCTTAGTCAGGTCACACCACATAGGGCTTCATAAGAAGATAACTGTTTATTAGTGGTTCTGGTACTAAAGAACATGTGTACAGATTGTGTCAGGAATGGCCGTCAGTAGTAGGGCCTCTGACTTATAGTGAAATCAAAAATTCCCCCTGTAAGCATAAGCCAATGGATATATTTCGCGCATGCAGCAAAACAAGCGGGCATAGCAACAAAGCCATTAACTTTCCCAGCTGTATAGACTGCAGCTGGAACCTTCTACAAGGTCTAGCATAAGATAGCGCACAGTAGCTGAGCGGGAGACAGCTGGGAACGAGAAGGAGGGTACCCCTCCACATTCCAGATCTGTGACAGGGCTACCTGACAGACCCTAATGGCCCAGGGCCATAGTTCCCAGGGGAAAGAAGATGCCAAGCCTGACGGGGGCTCAAGGTTGTTTGTCTGAGCTAAATGAGATAACTCGAAGCAACAGCAAAGCATCCAAAAGCGAAAGTTGACATTCTTCTCACTTCCCTATGTCCCCATGGCAACCAAGCCCAAGAAAGCAGGGTGAGGTTGACACACTGCCACCCCAAAGACCCTACCCTGCTGGTTTAAGAGGGTAGGGTCTATGGAAAGTGTGCACGAGCCATGGGGCATTAACATGATCTCGGCACACCCATTCATTATGAGAGAGGTCAAAATCTTTCCATTTAATCAGATAATACAGGTGACCATGTTTAAGTTTAGAGTCCAGGATTTCTTCAGTCTCTTGGTGTGGCTCACTATCCACCATCAGAGATGGAGGAGCTGCTGGTCATGTTCTCTATTTGTTCAGACACGGCTCTTTCTTCAACAAGCTGAAATGAAATATGGGATGGATATGTTTAAGTGTCTTAGGTAACTCAAGTTCAACTGCCACTTCGTTTATCACCTGGATCACTTTGAATGGTCCCACATATTTCCACCCCAGTTTCCTCCCTGGCTGGAGTCCTTTTAGATTCTTTGTGGATAGGTAAACAGAGTCACCAGGTTACAAGTTCCACTTGGAGGCGTGCCCCTTGTCTACATGGGTTTTGTAGACCTTTTTTAGCATTGGCTAAAGTCTTTTGAATTGTAGACCACTGCTCATTTAAGCACTGCCACCAGGTGCAGAGGTGCCCATGCTCTGGCGAAGCCACTGTAGGTAAGGGGGCCCCTTCATATCCATGTAAAGCCTTAAAAGGGGATAGCCCAGTTGAGCTGCTGGTAATTTGAGAAGCAACGAAGGAACTGCTCAACCACTTGATTAACTTGGTCAGTTTGCCCATCAATTTCAGGGTGGTGAGCACTACTAAGCCCCTGCTCTATACCCAGTACCTGCAGGCGTTCTTTCCAGAATTTGGCGACAAACTGGGAACCCTGGTCAGATATGATCTTGCAGGGTAGTGAATGTAGCCTTATCACATGGTGCATGAAGAGCTTGGCTAGTCCTTTAGCAGTAGGCAGTTGCTTACATGGAATGACATGGGTTTGCTTTGAAAACAGATAGACCACCACCGAGATTGCATGGTGAACTTGCTCCCTTCTCATAGCCATTCTCTTCTGAAACCATGCATCTGATTAAGCCTGCAGTCCTGTTCACACTTGCTTGGTAGTAGGTCCCTTGGTAGTAGGACCTTACTCAAGTAAGGGTCACTTGAGTTAACATGAATAGACTTGATCTGTAAATCTGTGCTAATAAGCATATTGCTCTTTCATGTCTGTCCTCTTCTAATAGTGCATTCAGAAGGCAATACTCTCCTGATTACTCAGATGAATGGATCACTGTACAGGGATGTGAAAACATCACTAAACCACATTGTGACATCTCATCTCCCGTTTCCTTCCATGGAATGTTCTATTTTCGTGTACGCACCATGAATAGCTATTCCAAATCACCTTGGTCTGAAGAGCTACCTTTTGATCCATTAATAGAAAGTAAGCATCTCCTTTCCTTCTGCCCATCTGAAATATGTAAGGTTTCCCTGTTATTATATAATGCTGTTTTTACAGTTTCTGTTCAATTACAAATAATATTTCCTCTTGTATATTTATAAACCTCAAGAGCTTCACAGTCTAAAGCACAGTCTGAAAGTAGTGATGTCACAAGCTCCACTGTTTTGTAACTACTGTTTACTGCAATTGAATAAACCCCACTGAAATGAACAGAAGTTATTCAGCAGTAGTTCTTTGTGGATTTCTCTGTGAGTCTTCCAGATGTGTTCAGAATATGTATTGTTCATGGATACAGAGCAGATTGCAGCAGATAACACGCACAAAAAAGGTTTACTAGCACTGAGTTTAACAGTGTGATCCTAAACAGAGTTTACCCACCTAAGCCCATGTATTTAGAAGGATGCATTTCTGTTGGGAATTTCACTGTAAGTTTCATGGTACAGTACCACATTTATAGACATTCCTTTTTGAAAGCTTTTCTGCTTTTTATTGGTTTTACTAATGTGAGCTTTTATTATTGTTTTATTGCTGATTTATGTTGGTTTTACTAATGTGAGCTTTTATTATTTATTGTTTTATTGCTGATTTATATGTATGGATAATTTTTGTTCTTGTTGAGATTGGAAGTAGTTGGTGAGCCTATATGCTGAGAGTTGCAGATATAGATACATAATTAGGGTTGCCAGCTCCGGGAAATTCCTGGAGATTTTAAGATCAGAGGCTGTGGAGGGAGGGTAGGAACCTCAGTGTGGTATAATGCCATAGAGTCCACCTTCCAAAGTGGCCATTTTCTCCAGGGAAATTCTGTCGCCTGGAGATCAATTGTAATCCAAGGAGATCTCCAACCACCATCTGGAGGTTCAACTACAACAGAGTGAGAAACACGGTGGCAACTGTGAATACAGAAATAACCGTGTCAAGGTGTCTATACCAGTATGTCATACAACAATAAAGAGATTTTTTTTAAGCCCCCGGAGGGGATTTTTTATTATTTTTGCAAACTACAAAAAACTACTACAGAAAAACAGGGAGGGGTACTACATATACGGGATAAAGAAAAGATACCCACACTACCTAAAAACCCAAGAGAGGAGATCTTCATTGGCTTAGTTACAATAATTCTTCCCTTCGTTTAAACATAGAACAAACTGAGCCAAACATTAAAAGTACTTTTCCTTTTCTAAAACTTTTACACCTTCACTGTCTAAAGACAACATCCCCCCAGTCTTATTTTCATCGTTTTCCAAGGCACAATTCAGAGTCCTTCAGCCTCTATTTCTCTGTTCCCCGTCTTTTTTGTAACTTATAAGGACTTTTTGGGGCTGCTGCCCCCTTTTCAGCCAGAGAGTCCTCTCCGGAAGAACCAGAGTCCAGCTCGCCACTAGACTTGCTGTCCTCTTCATTCTGCTCGTCCTCTGATCTTCCCAGCTGGGCCTTTAAAAATTCTTTGGCTTTTTTTAACAGAGTCATTTTTTTCTTTTTTGTCTTTGATCTTGAAAGCGACTCCCTCTGGAAACAACCATTTATATCCAATTAAATTTGTCTGAAGAAAAAGCACCAACTCCTTGTACTTCCTTGTACTGAACTTGTAGTTCAGTCAGAGGGGAAAACACATAATGTATATGAATCCTTACAATCCAGCCAGGAATAATAGAGCTCAATACAAACTATTTTTCACATCAATATAACACTTCAACAAAAGACCTTGCTAAAGAATTGCCATGAGGAACAGTCCTTCTTTTGAGTAGCAAAGACTCTCTAGTGATGGTCTTCAATGAAAAGGTTCCGACTGCAGTCCCAGTCTCAGTGAGCAAGTCAGCTATAAACTTGTTTCGCTGAAGCTTTCTTAAGGATGGAACCGCCTTCCAGTACAAATTAACCAAAATCTTTCATTTCAATCTCAGGAAAACACTCTGATTAAGCCAGACGTTAAAACTTATTAATCTTGCAAACTTCTAATGCATAAAAAGGACTGTTCCTTGCAGCAATTCTTTAGCAAAGTCTTTTGTTCAAGTGTTATATTGATGTGAAAAATAGTTTGTATTGAGGTCTGTATTCCTGGCTGGATTGTAAGGATTCATATACATTATGTGTTTTCCCCTCTTTGACTGAACTTCAGTTTCTAGCGTGTTAAGATAATTTTTGATTCTTACTAATAATATATACAACTTGGTTTCTTAAATCTCTTTATACCAATTTGGTATAGACACCTTGACATAATTATTTATTTACCGCATGGAGGTTGGCAACCCTAATGCTAAATATGCTAATTTAAATAGAAGCTTGACCATGTATTTGGTACTGTGGTAAACATTTAAATTAAAATAATGCTAGAACTGAACTGTATAAAATTTGTTTTTTAAGATGAAATTGACCCACCAAGTGTCAAGGTTAATGCCAGTGAGAATTCACTTCATATTTTTATTGTGCCACCCGAAGAACTGGAAAAGAATTCAATAAGCGAACATTATTCTTTTACTTATCACATTTGGTATTGGAATAATTCTTCATATACCAAGGTAACTCTAATTCTAAAAAAATAATTTTAGTTGAAGCATGGATGAGAAATCATGACTAGAAACTTATAATGCATACCTGTCAGTCTTGTATTTTTGTCCCAGCTATCTCCAGTGCTTCAAGAGCTTGATATAAGCCCTATCTTTTACAGTCCTCCTGGGAAGTGACAGACCTCTTTGTTATACAAGGTTTTTTCATGTTAAAATTATTTCAACGTTGAGCCCAAACTACGGGAATATTTTGCTTCATTACAGAGGGATAATTTAGCAGGGGTTTTTACCCCATAAGAGATTTTACAGCATACGCCTTTTGGCAGAGTGTGCCATCCTCAAGTCATCCCCTGTAAGTAATACTGGCCAAGAGTTTTTCATTGCTTGATGGTATGCCAGTCACCATCTATCCTAATTTCCTGTCAGCATGGAGTACCCAAATACACAGACATTCACCAGAGGAGGAAATCCTCATCAATAAAAGGGGGGGGGGATTACAGAATCATAGAATGTTAGAGTTGGAAGGGACCTTATAGGTCATCTAGTCCAACCCCCTGCACTTTGCAGGAGCATAGCCAAAAGATAGCCCTACAACATACCTGAAAGATGGTCGTCCAGCCTCCGCTTGGAAACGTCCAGCGAAGGAGCATCCACCACCTCCCGAGGTGATGTAATTGTATTACAGAATAGCAGTATGCACAGAAGCTCTTGTTTGGTTTAACAACAATTAAAGTAATGTTTTATTTGTAATTCAATACTTTTTGGATGGCTAGCCTAATCTCATCAGATCTCAGAAGTTAAATAGGGTCAGCCTTGGTCAGTATTTGGATGGGAGACCACCAAGAAATTCCAGAGTCGTTACACAGAGGTAGACAATGGCAAACCACCTCTGAATGTATCTTCCCTTGAAAACCCAGGGTCGTCATGAATCGGCTACAAGTTGATGGGCACTTTACATGCGCGCACACACACAAGTTGATGGGCACTTTACATGCGCGCGCGCACACACACCCCCTTTTAGAGTACAAAGTTGACCTGTTTTTTAAAAAAGTAAACATATTTTTTATTATTTCTAATCCCATGTCGAGCATGTCTTGGAAACTATACCATGTTCTCCAACAGGAAAAAAATACCTGTGGGTTGGATTCTACTAATTCTTCTGATAATTGGATCCTATGACCCTCTTCCTCTAACTTGTCCTTCAACAGACTTCTTTCTATCCTAATTTGGTGTAGTGGTTAGGAGCGCGGACTCTAATCTGGGAGAACCGGTTTTGATTCCCCACTCCTCCACATGCAGCTGCTGGGTGACCTTGGGCAAGCCACAGTTATCTCAGAGCTGTTCTCTCTAGAGCAGTTCTCTCAGAGCTCTCTCAGTCCCACCTACCTCACAGGGTGTCTGTTGTGGGGAGAGGAAGGGAAGGAGATTGTAAACCACTCTGAGTGAAGAGTGAGGTATAAATCCAATCTCCTCCTCCTCCAATGGAGAAGGCTTTTTCTGATGGAGAAAGGCCTCCTCAGAAGAAAAGTCTTTCTTTCTTGAAGGAATACTTGGTGCAAGGGAAGTCGTAAGATCCAGCCCTAGATGTGCATAACAAAAATGATAGTGCTTCCCTCCAGCTGAGTGCAGATAGTGGAAACCTGAGCAAACCTGAAGACTGTTTAACTAGCAGCTACTCTGCAGCCACCTGTACTGCTGCACAGGGTGGAGTAGTTGCAAACACTGCTGTTTAGGGAACGGTGTGCCATGGATTTTCATCATTTGCTACCTGGCACGTGTGCGCTCCTGACAACTACAATGTTCTAAGGCCAGAGAGTTGGCAGCATATTGCTACAGTGTTCTCTATGGCACTGTAAAGGGCACTCCAGAACAGAATTGTTTGTTTGACTATGTTCAATAAATGTTTTAAATAAACAATGTGAGCTGTAATTAAAATAACTGTTGCTCTTATTTAAATGTTTAAACTTTTATTCCTGGTACAGGGCCGCATTGAAGAAAAATCAACCTCATTCATAATCCCAAATTTGTCTCCTTCAACTGTATACTGCTTAGAAGTGCAAGCGTTGTTAATTTCAAAAAGCAGCAAGTTCAGCAATGTGACGTGCATTGAAACTGCCAGTGGTATGAGACATTGAACATTTTTTGGAATGTACTGCTCATAAATTGTTGTGTGTCATAGGTTTATATGACTTCATATGAAAATGTGATATATACGTTTCCATGTTCTGTGTCATGGTTCAGGTCAGTGAGCTTTGACATGCTTATGATGAGTATAGAAAAGACTCTGCAGAAGTACTTTTCTTAACATCCAGTGTTCCAGGAAGAAAACTATTAAATATCAAGATTAATTAATTAATTAATTAATTAATTTCTGTTGATTTATATTTTGCCCTCCCCACAAGCCATTTTTGTGAGAGAACCATTAAATAGAGAGAGCCAGCATGGTGTAGTGGTTAAAAGTGGCGGACTCTAATCTGGAGAACTGGGTTTGATTCTTCACTCTTCCACCTGAAGCCTGCTGGGTGACCTTGGGCCAGTCACAGTTCTCTCAGAACTCTCTCAGCCCCACCTGCCTCACAAAGGTGCCTGTTGTGGGGAGATGAAGAGAAGGCAATTGTAAGCCGCTTTGAGACTCTTTCGGGTCAAGAAAAGCAGGGTATAAAAACCAACTCTTCTTCATCGTTTTCTTCTTTTACTGTGACTTTTATACCCAATAAGTTTCAAAGGTTTCCTATGAGGAAGAGTGAGTAAGGTTTGCATCTTCCTCTCATCATACCATTTGGCTTTGAAAGTTTAAGAATAAATTTAGAAATAGTATATTTTTCAATATTTTAATAGTTTAATTCCTTTTTGTTTGTTTTATAGGACAGTCAAATCAAGTTTCTCTTGTCATCGCAGTAGTTTTCTTTGGTGCTGCTGCTGTTGTCGTTGCCTTGCTGTGTGTTTCCTGGTATATATGGAAGAAGGTCAAATATGCATTCTTTCCCTCATGCAATTTTCCATTAATCATAGAGGTATAAGTATTAATTAACTATCTTGTTGCAAATAATAAATGATATGAATATCCTAGCAGACTCCATGTGGGTTCTCTAGTGACCACATAGAGCTCATAGTTAACAGGCAAATGCCAAGTAAAGGCTTGGCATTTAACTTTTAAAATATTGAGTAATACCTCGGCAGGATTTCCCCCCCCCCTTACAATGTGTATACCTAGCAGTGAAAATAAGAGGTTTTGTTCAAGTGTTGCCTCTTGCTTTTCACTTCCTTCAGAGTAGTATCTGGCCAGATTCTTTATATCCACCTGTATTCAATTCTGAAACAAAGTATTACATTTCATACATTTAATGCTAAAACATCTTTGGGGGGGGGACGCGGAGGGACGCCATCCCCCCGGGTGAGGTGCGGGAGGGCGGGGCCTGGAGCTCCCTGCTGGTGCCCGCTGGAGGTCGCCGCCGGCTGTGGGGAGGACACACTTCCGGTGATGTCAGGGGGTGTGACATATGCTAATGAGTTATGCTAATGAGTCCCTCTAGCTCTTTTTCTACGAAATGACCCCTGGTAATCTCTAATAATTTCTTTCTGTTGCACAAATGGAACTTTAAGTTAATTAAAAATTAACTTTGTCAGATCTGTTTTTGTCATACAATTTTTAAAAAGACAATTTTTAGCTGCTTGTATGATGGCATTGCCTTGACCTGGATAACCCAGGCTCATCCAGTCTTGTCAGATCTCGCAAGCTAAGCAGGGTTGGTCCTGATCACTATTCAGATGGTAGATCACCAAAGAATACCGGGGTTGCAATGAAGAGGCAGGCAATGGCAAACCACCTCTGAACATCTCTTTCCTTGAAAAACCCATCAGAGGTTGGCGTTAGGGATGGACACGAACTGGCTGATGAACTAAAGTTTGTCATGAATTTTGAGTAGCTCATGGTTCGCGAAGCAATGTTCACGAACTGAAAAACCGCCACAAACTTTCACAAATTCTGATGCACTACTGATGCACAAATGCACAACTGCCTGCTGCTCAGCTGTTTGTTTTAAATGGCCGGGAGCCATTAAACCCTGCTTTCTGCTCCCCACGAAAAGCTGTGGGGAGCAGAAAGCAGAGGTTTAAACTTTAAGGGGCTTGCAAACCGGGTCAGTTCACAAACCAACCTCCTGGTTCATATGGGTTTGTGGTTCGGTTTGTGGTTCAGCCACAAACTGAACTGCAAAAATACGGTTCGTGTCCATCCGTAGTTGTCATAAGTCAGCTGCAACTTGATGGCAAAAAAATTCATTATAGTTTTGAGAACATAGGGTTGGGAGGGCCAGCCCAAGGATATAATGGAGAATTTCACTTACTGAGTCATGGAGAGCTGACTTGGTGCGTGAAGTGATTTAAACTTTAAACCCCTCCCCTCTTGGATCCGGGCCACGGTTGCGGCGTGACTCTGCAAGTGAAGGGAAGGGGTTTAAACCTTAAACCCCTCCCCTCCCGGAGTCAGGCTGCTGTGCGACTCCACAAGAGAGTGTTTAAACTTTAAACCCCTCCCCTCCTGGAGTTGGGCCACAGCTGCAACATGACTCCGGGAGGGGAGAGAAGGATGAGATGGTTAGACAGTGTCATAGATGCAATGAACATGAAATTGAGCAAACTTCAGAGGACGGCGGAAGACAGGAAGGCCTGGCGTGATCTGGTCCATGGGGTCACGAAGAGTCGGACTCGACTGTGCGACTGAACGACAACAACAAAGAACTTACCTTTGTCCTGACTTCAAATGTTTTATCTAGTTAATGCATCAGGGAGGGAAGTCAGTAATTGTTGAAATGTTTGTATACTGGTTGGTTTCTCAATGCTTAATAAGCATTAATGTAGGTATCTTAATTCTTATCATGTTGAATAGGTTTTTGTAGAGCCCTTATATTGAAATCTATATAATGTGTTCTGGCATAGTAGAAAGCCATGTTCAGCAGAATGTACTATACAGAATTGCAATGCTATTAAGAGACTCAAAAGCTGATTATAGTTTTTTTTCCCCCCTCACCGCTTTCTTTGTGTCTCTCCATCTACAGAAGACTGGAGGAAGAGATCCAAACAGTTCCTACTTGATATCTTCAGAAGAATCGACCGAAAAATGTGTCCTTGTAATTGAAAAAAGCATCCTACCTGAAATTAACTTGAAGGACCATGGACAATCAGAACAGAGCTGTCGAGACTCGGGAAACTATTCCAATGATGATGATATTTCTGGAAATAAAAATTCACATGAGATTAAAGAAGAAGAAGCCATATGACTTGGACGATGGGTAGAAGTCCCAAGATGAGAGGGGCAGTATAGCTAGCACTGATTTAATTACTTGTAATCATTTTTATTATAGCTGTTCTCTTTTGTTAAAAGAGACTTCACGCCAGAAAGGAGGCTGGCAACTGGCTGTGGTGCCAAAGATTTTGTTATGTACTGCTATCAGGAAAATGGCTAGAACATAAGAGATTTTTTAAAATTAATTTTTCTCTGTAAAGGTGAGAATTTTGCTAAAATGTTTACTTGTTTCGTGTTTGGAAATACAAAGAACAGCTAGAAGAAAATCACAGTAAACATAGGCTGTATACATGCAAGTTGAGTTTTACAAAGTCAACTGTGAATATTAGTAATGTCTACTGTTTGTAGCAAAGTGTAATAGTCTAAAAACAGGCTGTATAAGTCTCCCAAAAATACTGATAGGACAGCCTCTCCAGATTTTTCTCAGAGGACCCGAAATCTACCCAGGCATTGGTGATAACTGCGGTGTGCAGAGCACAGTTTGAACACAGTGCCTTCTAGGATGTAGTATTTGTTGTTAACATAACTCTGTACATGATCAATCATTCCTTCTTTACAGACAGCTAAGACAAAAGTAGCATGTAATGAAGAGCGCTGGGAGAGGGAGTCAACATTTATTCAAGGGAAAAATCCTCTGAAGAAGTTAAATAAGTGAAAATTGTGAAGAAAGGCTTGGCCTGCCTCAAGATAGTTAATAGTTTTTAGCTAGTCTCTCCATTTACCGTAACCATAATGGATACCTGCAGCTTGAAAATATAAATACAATGTTATTAGTGTTACAGTAGATAATAGGGTTTTGTTATTACTACCTATTTGCATTAGTATACATATTTTCAGTAACCTTCAATTTTAGCATAGGAAAAACAGTCTCCTGTTGAACAGAAGAATATTTCTTAAGTAATACCCTGCAATTCAAATTTGAAAATATTTGAAAACCAAGTTTTAAGGAAAGATTTTGTAAAGATATAGGGTGGCTTGCCTCTATTTAATTTTCTGTGCTGTCATAACGGGAGAAGATCAGTCCCCCTGTCAAAAAGATCGCTTGTTTAAAGCTTACCAGGACACACTGCTAGTGGATTCTAAACAATCTGTAGGAAAGGATAATAGTCTTTACTCTGTGTTTCTTGTAAGAAAATAAGAGGTGCCCTGCTGGATCAGACCAGTGGTCCATCTAATCCAGTATCCTGGAAGAGGGAGAACTGTCTACATTCCCTACCACGTGTAGAAACCTCTGACGCCCCAAATTGTCTTTTTTGAGAACTGAAGATCCCAAATCTCTTCAGCAAGTTTGGTGTAGTGGTTAAGTGCACGGACTCTACTCTGGGAGAACCAGGTTTGATTTGCCACTCCTCCACTTGCAGCGGCTGGATGACCTTGGGCAAGCCATAGTTCTGTCAGAGCTGTTCTTGAAAGAGCAGTTCTTGAAAGAGCTCTCTCAGCCCCACCTACCTCACAGGGTGTCTGTTGTGGGGAGGGGAAGGGAAAGGAGTTTGTAAGTCCCTCTGAGACTTCTTCCTTCCCTTCTTCCTCCCCTTAATAATCTTGATTGTTCTCTTCTAAACTTTTTTCCAACTCTGTGATATCTTGTTTTGAGATTCAGCAACCAGAACTGTACACAGCATTCTAAATATGGCCACCATAGACCACTGCAATATTGGCTATTTTATTTACAGTGTCTTTCCTAATCTCCAGCATTGTCTTGTTCACCACTGCAGAACACTGACATTGTCAACAAGCTATCTGCTACAACCCCAAGATCTTGCCACATTCTGAGTCAGCATTTTAATTGTGGCTCTTGATTACTGCAGCCCACCTTACTTCTGGGTGCTTGTTTCTGGGTGCCAGCGTCGGAGGTTAGGAGTCTGGGAGTGCTCCTGGATCCCTCCTTAACTATGGAGGCACAGGTGGCAGCCACCGCCGACTCGGCCTTTTGCCACCTTCGGCTGATTTGGCAGTTGGTCCCCTTCCTCGACCGCAATGACCTGGCTACAGTGATCCATGCGACGGTCACCTCGAGATTAGACTACTGTAATGCTTTCTACATGGGGCTGCCCTTGTCGCAAATTCAGAAGCTGCAGTTAGGGCAGAATACTGCAGCCAGGCTTCTGATGGGTCTCCCTAGATGGGAGCACATCTGGCCTGTGCTGAAAGTGCTGCACTGGCTGCCAATAGCTTTCCGAATCCGCTTCAGGGTGCTGGTACTTACCTTTAAAGCCCTATATGGCCAGGGTCCGACTTACCTGAGGGACCGCCTTTCCCTATACATACCCCAGAGAGCACTACGGTCAGGGGCTCAACATCGATTAGTGATCCTAGGCTCCAGGGAGGCCAGGCTTGCGGCGGCCAGGGCCTTTTCAGTGGCGGCTCCTACCTGGTGGAATGAGCTCCCGGAGGAGATCAGGACCCTGCAAGACCTCTCACAGTTCCGCAGGGCCTGCAAAACGGAGCTCTTCTGCCAGGCTTTCAACTAGGAGCTACCACTTCCAACAACAACAACTACCACTTCCACCACTAACAACGGGGTAATGGGATGGCCCACTATAAAGATCTTGCCACAGTATTACAATGGATCGGTACCGCTGAATCGGGCTTTTGGGTAATATCTATATATTATTGTTAATTATGGTTGTTTTTATTCTGTTTTTAATGTTTTATATTGGCACATGGTTGCCCTTGTTTGTAAGCCGCCCTGAGCCCGTTTGCGGGGAGGGTGGGATAGAAATGCAATAATAAACAAATAAACAAACCCATGTGTGGTTTTGCACATAGAATGATAACAAAGTGTGTTATGTGTTAGAAACAGCAATGGCCAGACCAAATTCCCATACCAAAAATGATAAAGCAGCATCTTTAAAAATTGTGTAGCTTAAAATACCAGGTACGAGGCACTGAAAAGATATTGTGCCATCCTGAGCAGAGTTGAGGTCAATGGACTTAGAAGGATCCAACTTATTTAGGAAGGCACTGTCAATCTAGTAATGAGCTGCGCCCTTTAATTCTAATGCATACAGCTACTCCTTTCAGGTTTGGGTTGTAATTTTTTTTTTTGCATTTTCTTCAAACAATCAGCACACATTTAGTATTCATTATCTTGCCACTCACTGGAGATCAATAGGAAATTTATCAAATATGAAGCCTGTGATAGTGAAACTTACATGATGTATGATGGAATGTCACCTATCTGTTGCTGCTAGTCTGATCAGCAGCAAACAGATTATACTAGATCTCTGCATTATATGCAGTTATGGATATTTATATATTAATTTACATTTTGTGAATAGCATATGGAGTTTGAATGTGGGACACCCAATTCAATACACTGATGAACCTTGCAAGCTAGTGACTGACCTTGAGCTAATCTTTCTAAACTCCACATAATTGTTCTGAGGAATATAATTAGGGAAGGATGTATATGTAAAATAGTATTTAGTTCTCACTGTTCATAGAATGCTGGATACAAGCTTTTGGTAACTAATTTGTGGAGGTTGCTTCCCCGTAATCATGTTGCTCTGTATGCTGCATACAGATTATACCACATTGTTGGTCTGATGACTGCTGTATAAGAGCCATTGTTTCCAAATCTGCAGAATAAAAAACAAATATATTCTACTTATTTAACAATTCCTTACCTTCGTTTTATTACTGACAGATGTTACTTAGAGTAATGAAAGTATGCGAGCCATGCGTTGGGAAGTCCCCTGTTCAGGTTTCACTTCAGTTATGAATTCAGTAGAGCGGCAGGAAAACCACTGTTCTCACAACTGCAATATGGGAGATAACAATATGGGTCTAGCCCACAATATTTTATAAAGGATTACAGAGATAATGTAGGTGAAGTGCTTTGAACACTTCACATGTGTTCTATACATTGCAAAGTATTATTATCATAACTCTTTGTGAATAAGTGCCTGAGGTTGTGGTCTTAAACAGGTGTTTTCTGGAAATAAATAACACCAGATTCAAGGGAATTGACTCTCCATTTTAAATTTAGTATATTTAAATTCTGTAATCAGATAACTAGTTTATTCCTAAACATAAAATGCTATTCAGTACCAGATTGGTGAAATTCATCCCCCAAACTCTGTTCCATATTTTGATGCTTTGACCCATACCAATAAAATCTAATTCTCAACATGGCCAGACCTGTGAATGTTTAAACCCAGAAATTGGAGCCATGAACAGACAAGACAGGGCTTACTTCAAATCTGAAAAATACCTCAGGCATGCAGAAAAATTGGAAATCTTTTTTTAGAAAAACATTGGCGAGTTAAAAACCCTGCAAAATAATAGCAGTGCCTGTAGCTTTAAGAAACTAATGCCCTCTGAGGCCCATTGCTTGGCAGCCACAACAGCATTACCAGTTGAAGACTTGGTTTCTGTCAGCAGAAGGCAGGGGGAGGAGCAGAGCCCTTTCCATGGCTATTTTGGCCTTTGGGGAAGGATTCATCAGGGCCAGGCCCACCAGCAACCACCAGGTGACTCTGCCATCACTCCCCCAGGACTGGCTGCTTGCTACTGTTCAACAGCAGACACCCCACAAAAGCCAGTGTGGTGTAGTGGTGTGGTAGCTGGAATTTCAGACCAGGATTTGGGAGACCCAGGTTCAGATCTCCACTTTACAATGGAAGCTTGCTGGGTGATCTTGGACCAGTCATATACTCTCCGCTTAATCTACTTCACAGAGCTGTTGTAGAGATAAAAAGGAAGAGAATTATGTAAATTGTCTGGGTCCACATTGTAGAGCAAGGGTGGCCAAACTTGCTTAATGTTAGAGCCACATAGAATAAAAGTCTCATGTTTGAGAGCCACAAGACATGAACAGATATTACACGTTTTACTGGGAAATATGCAAATTTGCTTTTTATTAACATTAAATGAGACTGCAAAAATAATAAAAGTGGTAAAAGCAGATATTGATAATATTTATTTGTCCAAACATTTGTTTGCTAATGATATTTAGCTTCCCCAGCCACCCTGCTGGGAGCTGCACAATATGTGTAAAAGGGCCGCATGCGGCTCCCGAGCCACAGTTTGGCCACCCGTTGTAGAGAAAGGTGGGGTATTGTCAGCTAGCTGCCATGGAGTTCTGT